AGGATTCTTCTCTCAGAGATCATTCCAAGATTTGGACTCCCAAAGAGTATACACAGCAATAATGGACCTTCGTTCAAGGCAGCCATTACGCAGGGTGTGTCCAAGGCTTTGGCCATACAACACAATCTCCATTGCATGTGACGTCCCCAATCTTCAGGCAAGGTGGGAAAGGCAAATGATATCCTTAAGCGCCACCTGAAAAAGTTATTTCAGGAGACTCATCTCCCTTGGGTAAATCTATTACCTGTGGCGTTAGTACGCATCAGAAACACCCCCACGAAACTAGGTAAAACAAATGGCAGAATTATTCTTAGAAACACCCACTCGACCATGACTAAAAAGCCTGAGCCAGAACTTGACTGTTACTGTAGATGCATTGTCCATTATGATCATGAAACCATAGTGGTCCATTTCTTTCCTTTTTACGCCTCATCCACGCACCCTTCTCGAGTTCCGAACTCAGCTGGAGCTGGACTCTAGCAAACTATCATGCTGCAAGTAACAGTATTTCATTCCTCTTTATTGCATCATAGTATTTCACTCTGTTTTTATATGTACCACGTATTTATTATTTTAAAAATATTTATTTATTTACTTGAAAAGGAAATTTACTAATGGGGATGGAAGCAGAAGAAGAGAGGGATAGAGAGATCCTTCTTCTGCTGATGCATTTTCCCAGTGATCCCAATGGATGAGGATGGGCCAGCCTAAAGCAAGGATCCAAGAATTCCATTGAGGTGTGCTCATGAATGGCAGGGCCTCAGTACTTGGGCCATCAGCCACTGCTTCAGTGGATGCATTAGCATCTAGCTGGATCAGACATGGTGTGGGTGGGACTTAAATCAACATCCATATGGCATTGTGGCTTCACCATGTGAGCCACTGTTTCACAACCCCAGCCATATAGCAGTTGTTTAAATCCACTGATATAGTAATTGATATATTAGCTGACTCTAAAACTTAGCTATTGTGAGCAGTACTTCTATAAACATAATATGACAGTTAATGTTTTGATACAGTAAGTTCATGTCTTCTGTGTCGATGTCCACTAGGGGAATTGCTGGATCATATAGAAGTTCTATTTCTAAGACTTCCTTAGAATCACAACTTGACACAAAACTCTCCAGCAAAAACGTCTGCCCAAAAGACCATCCTGAGCACCAGAACCTGGCTTGGTAATCTGGGGAGGCCACCATGATGATTAACATGACACCAACAAGCAAGCCAGAAAGCCTGACTTGCAGGATTTGCACTGACCTTTACTCAAAAGATATCATGTACTTAGTTTATTCAAAAGATATCATCTAATCAGAATTGATTACTCATATAGGACTCAAGAAGGCTGGATGCTCTTGTGTCGCTGTCCAGCTGCGATAGACTTGGTGCACTTGGTTGCACGGAGCCAATAATAACACACGTGGACCCTGACTGATGGTCAAAGCTGAAGTTTATTAGGGGCAACAGACTTTATACACTGAGGGTCATATGGGATAAGGGAGGAGATACTGAGCTTATGAACAAACCCATCAACTGCTTCATCAAAAGGGAACTCCTTTTGTCTTGTATATTCCACCAAATGTTCTGACACACATGCTGTCCACTCAACTGTTCTTACACAAATGATATCCAATCAGGTATACAAAAGGTAGCCATTTGGTTGTTCTCATGCAAATATTACCCAATCAACTGTAATCCTGTGCTCGCTGACCTTCTAGGGTCACAATGTCTTCCTACACTCTTGAGTCAGGATCCATGCTGACCAATCATTTCTGGTTTGTGTGTAGTGACCACTTGTCTGGATTGTGTGTGGTTGCCATTTGTCTGTCTTTATGTCTATCTTTTTGTTAAAAATTATTTTACACACATGGAGCACAGAACTGCTCATCGGAGCTCTGTATTGCTAGTTCCCCAGGATATATATATGTACTTTGCCTTTAAAAAAAAAAAAGAGATAATGTGTTTTTTACAGTAACACTCTCTGGTTTCAATGCCTCTTGAGATTGATCTCACAATAAACTTTAGGTTTATACCACTGTTCCAGCTTGAGTTACCTTAGGAAAATCTCAAAATTGTTACTATGAATTACTGTCTGTGCTTGCTGGTAAGAAAATGTCATACGTTGTGTTTATTGCGAACTAGCTCTTCCAGTTTTCTGTAACAGAAAAAATATTCAAAAGGGTAAATGTACTTGTGTGACCCATAAGTCATCTTGGTACAATTAATAATTTCTGATTGGGTAAAAGTAAAAGACTATTTGGGTTTGTGGAGTAACAGGTGGCCCTTCTTGTTTTATCGTTACAGCCACAATTGCTTGAGATCTGATTGTGTAAAACCTTTCTTATAATTGATATATTTGAGCATCAACATTTTAATATAGATACTTTCAAAGAACTCAAGAAAGCTATAGCTTCATATGGAGTGCATCATGCCTTTACTAGAAGATTATTAGAACAATTGGCTATTCAATACAGCATGATTCCATAAGACTGGCACAATTTAGCCAAAATAGTTTTAGACAGAAATTTGTTTTTACAGTTTAGAAGTTGGTGGCAGGATGAGGCTCAGCAACAAGAAAGGAGAAATCATAATGCTGATCCATGCATTGATACCTCCACCACATACCTTGTAGGCCAGGGAGAATTCTTGGGAATCCAGGCTCAACTCCAATAAAATGATAAAGCAATAACTTTGGTTCTGAGATGTGTCTTAAGGGCTTGGGACAGGGTAGAGGAGGCTGGTAGAAAATTTGTGGAAACCTCACCGATGTTTTTTGAAAATTTGCCAAGGTAACTGTGAAACTTACACAGATTTCATAGGTAGATTGACTGAAGCCATTTCCCATGACATTTTACAAACAGCTGTGCAACAAATGCTTTTGCAAACTTTGGTTTATGAAAATGCTAATACAGACTACCAAAAGGTCTTTTGACCTATCCAAACAGCAGGAGGCAATCCTAATGATTGTATTAAAACTTGTGCTGATATTGGATCAGAAACTTACAAGCCAATTTATTAGCTGCTGCTCTAAATTCTGGAATGAAACAAAGCTGTCTTAAATGTTATGGTTGTGGAAAATTGGGAAAAATGCACCGTGATTGTTGAAAGGACAAAACATCTAACTCTTCCATGCTTGTCTCTTACACAGTAAGCTCTAACCCTCCTCCAGGACCTTGTCTGGTGTGTAAGAGAGATTTCAGTGCACTAATGAATATTAGTCTAGCTATGACTCTACTGGAAAGCCCCTTTTGGGAAACGCACAACTGGGGCTGAGGGTTCAGAGCCCACTCTACAAACAAAATCAAACCAATCCCATTTGAAAATTCCATATGAGCGACAGGATCAGGCATGCTAGAGAATCATCTCCAATTCTTTCATGCTAACACAGGAAGTGCAGCCCTAGATATCCCAGTCCCTAAAACCTTAAATTTTTCAACTCTAAAAGGCAAACAGAAAATTCCTTTGAATCTTCATGGGCCTTTACCAACAGGTTCAGTAGGCCTCCCAATGGTCAGAAGTAGCTTAACAATGCAATGTTTTCATGTAATTTCAGGAGTTACAGACTCAGACTTTCACGGGGTGTTAAGTCTAATGGCTTATATTCAACAGGACTGGTACTATTTTTCAAGATCAGTCAATAGCACAGTTATTGTTATTATCATATATTAGAAGTCAACCTTATAATGTCCAGTGCATTAGAGGTTTTGGAAGTACTAGCAAGAATGTTTTCTATCAATTGTTTTTTTTTTTTTCAGGATGTCCTATGATTGAAATCATTATTATTAATAATAAATTTACTGGATTAATTGACACTGGAGCATATGTTTTCATTATAGCTTCAGAGCATTGGCCTGTTAAGTGGCCTAAAATTCAGGTTCCAGTCACTTTTTCAGGTGTGGGGATTTTAGAACAAGTTTACCAATCAACAATGAATTGCAATGCACTTTTGAACATTAGACAATATTCTTCACTCCTAATATTGCTAATATTAGCTTTACCTTATGGGGCAGAGATCTATTAGAAAAATTTAATATAGAAATTTCTATAGGATATTCTCAGGCCAACTTTAATGTGTTTACCAAACATGGATATATTGCAAGTCAGGATTTGGGAAAATACACCCAAAGAACCAGATCTCCAGTCTCAGTAAATAATAAAATAAATAAATTTGTTAAATGAACAATGCCAAATGGCTATTGCAGAGTTCAGCGGCCAATTTTCTAATTCTTATCCTAAAATTCCTCACAATTTCCCAAAACCACAGTTTTAGTTTTAGATCCCATAATTAGAACCAAAACAATTTCAAACACTCCTACATTTTTCAAGAATATAACATTAGTCCTTCCGCTGGTATTCCTTATAACTCTCAAGGTCAAGCTATTGTTGAATGTTCCCATGCTACGTTAAAAACACTTCATTTAGGGCCCGGCGCGGTGGCACAGTGGTTAAGGTCCTCGCCTTGCACGCCCGGGATCCCATATGGGCGCCGGTTCTAACCCCGGCAGCCCCACTTCCCATCCATGCGCCCTGCCTGTGGCCCGGGAAAGCAGTCGAGGACGGCCCAAAGCTTTGGGACCCTGCACCCACAGGGGGAGACCAGAAAGAGTCTCCTGGCTTTGGATCAGCATAGCACCGACCGTTGCGCTCACTTGGGGAGTGAATCATCGGATGGAGGATCTTCCTCTCTGTCTCTCCTCTCTGTATATCCGCCTTTCCAATAAAAATAAAATAAATCCTTAAAAAAAAAAACATTTCATTTAAAACAAAACAAAAGAGAATGGGAACCCCTATCACTAAAATACAAACTAATGAAAGCATTATTCACTTTAATTTTTTTTAATTGATATGAAGACGGAAGTACAAAAATAGACAAACATTGGCACACTGCATCTTCACAGATAGAACAAATACCAGGAAGTAAAGAATGGAAAAAAGAACTGTAAAGGCTTGGGGGAGAGGTTTTGCTCTTATTCTTACAGACAATGGAGAATGCTGGTTCCCCACTAGATGGCTCCACTGGAATGGAAAAAGAGAACAAATCAGCTTAAATTTTGAATATAATGGAGCCACCTGTTGCTGGAATGTAACATTTGTCTTTAGCTGCTCCTGTGACTTCCAGAGCTAAGCTGCTTATGCTTACCCAAGGTCAACTAAAACAACTAAATCAAGAAGGTGCCAACCTAGTGAAGAAAACAGAACAGTCTTTTAACACTAAAACACTTTTCTTGATTATGCTAGCTATTGCCACGACAAACTCCTCCCAGGCAAGTAATTCTACTTATTAGACTGATATTCCTTATCCACTGCTTTACAGACCAGTAACTTGGGTTGATTTCACGGTTCCAGTATACATTATTGCAACTATTTGGTTGCTAGATCCTTATAATCTTAGGGGATCTCTTAAACCTGAAAAAGAAAGGATGATATTAAATGACACTAATTGTTTCTATCAATAATACTGGATTCTATTGTCATATTCTTAGCCAGACTCACTCAAGACCAATATATATAAACCTCCAGTAAAGCCTAAATCATCTCATTGAATATATTGTGCCTCTTGTGCAGGGCTTGAACTTTGTTCTCTGATTAATATTTCCTATGGAAATATCATTAACTATAGCCCTGTGGGAAGTGCATGGAGTCGCAATACTCAATGACAACTGTATTGGGAGGTCCATTATGATTCCCTTCAAATGAGAGTAAACACCCCAGATTCTATCACCTGGCAGGCAGGAGGCTGGTCCACTCCAGCTCCTGAATTACCTCAACATCCTAACAAATCATGTGTCAAAATTAGTAACGGCACTCAAATCACTTGAGATTTGGCAAGCACAGGTTGCTATCCAAAGTGGTTTCTTTCGATTTATCATCAAGAATAATCAGACCCTATACAGGCTTGTGTTTATCTTCTTTTTTTTTTCAGTTGGCACTACCACATGGAATTGATTATCAGATTTCCTGTACAAGGTATCCCTTCTATAAGGTGTTTCCTAAACAAGGTGTTCCTTCTACACTTGCTTGAATTCTAACATTAACATTAATTTTTCCACCTAGTCTATAGATGTTTTAAGACCCTGTGTAGTGAGCCTGGCCTGGTGGTTCAGTGGTTAAGGTCCTCACCTTGTATGTCCGGGATCCTATATGGGTGCCGGTTCTAATCCCTGCAGCCCCGCTTCCCTTCCAGCTCCCTGTTTGTGGCCCAGGAAAGCAGTTGAGGACGGCCCAAAGCTTTGGGACCCTGCACCCGCGTGGGAGACCCGGAAGAGGCTCCTGGCTTCAGATCAGCATAGCATTGGCATAGCATTGGCATATCATCGGCCGTTGTGCTCACTTAGGGAGTGAATCATCGAACAGAAGATCTTCCTCTCTGTCTCTCCTCTCTGTATATCCTCCTTTCCAATAAAAATAAGACAAATCTTAAAAAAAAAAAAGATCCTGTGTAGGTATTTGGCTGCCAGTCCAATTGTCCAGACCTTGGGCAGAAAATTCAAATACCATCTTCCTTTGCATGATTCTTCATGAAGTAAAGAGAGATTTAAAAGATTCATAAGACTATAACCATTGGTAGCCTTGGCATTATTGCTATTATGACAATTGCTGCAGTTGCAGGGACTGCATTATACCAGATGGTACAAACAGCTCACTTCGTCCAGCAATGGCATCAACATTCAGAAGCATTGTGGAAATCACAATGACAAATTGAAGGACAGTTATATAGAGAACTCAAGCACTTGAAATTGACCATGCTGCTCTTGAAAGATCAACTACAATCTGTTCATCAAAGACTTTCACTAATATACCTCCTTTTGTGCTATCCCTACCCCGTGGAATCAATCTTTGTTCTCTTGGGATAATATAAAACATCATATGTTGTGTCATGGAAATCTGTTGTAGGCTAAGGAGCTGATTAGTGCTCATTTGCCTGGGCAGGAACAGGAACTAGGCTTGTGGCTAAAAACACCAAGACTAATTGGACTCATCTGTATCCAATATCCTGCTAAATCAGGATGTGGGGGTTGAGGGGAAGAGTATATAAGGAGAGGTGAAGGAGCAATAAAGGGAGACTTTGCAGAGACTCCCACCATCACTGTATCCTGTTGGTGCTTCATCCCAAGACCCTCTCCCTGTCCATATTACTGGCTCTGCTGGCTGGAGCAGGAATCTTTCTGGTCAGCTGTTTGAATTAGAATGAGAAATTAGATCTACATTTTTCAAAGAAGTTACATGAGTTTCAGGGTTAAGTCTTTTACCTGATTTTACTGAACATATGTCCTCTATTTTTACCAATGGCTTTTTTAAAAAAAATAAGAATTATTATTTTGATTGTAATAACATTATGCCTTTGGCATTATGTCTCTGCTTCTTGTAAAAGCATATCCAACGATACCAAGCAATAATGCAATGCTGATACAGCATCAATGTTTATGCCTCGTAATTCTCTAAGGGGAAATGACAGGGTTAATTGTAAAGGTGACTGCACTGCTGGAAGAATGGAATCTCCAAAGAGAAGCCTGCCTCCTATTACCAGAAAAAACTCCTGCTTCCTGAAACATCAGGAGGCAGACAGGAGATAGGGAGAATCTTGGAGTTTTTAGATTTATAGGAAAGACAGCTACATTAGATGCATGCTATTGTATTACTGTCTACATTAAAGTGATATGATGAGGACCCCCAACCTATACATTGTAAATTCCCATTGCATGCTTTCTGTTTTGTGTCACTGTTAGCCCCTAAATCATGTACTTGCTCACTGTCATATAGCTTTTGATTCTCTGATAGATACTATAAAAAAGCCCATGATTATTTTGTTCAAGGTGCTTCTTGCTTATGGCAAGAAGTTGCCCCTTGAGTAGAAATTAAAATCATTTCACTCACCTTGGAGTTTCACTCAAATTCACTGAACCTCAACACTGGCCAACCCCCAGTCCCAAATCTCACTGGCAAGTGCTATAGCCTCACCGTGCCCAAACCACTGTCAATCATGACTCATGCAAGCCATTAGGTGTGATAAAATAACCAGGTATGCCCCGCATTGTAGCCTGGCTCCTGCACTTGCCACTGAGCAAAAGTTAACCTAGCCCTGCATGGACTACCACCTTCCAAAACCATGCCGCACAAGTACAGACAGATGGAGCTATCCTGTCTGATCTGACCAACACCCAGGCTGAAATCACATGCTCACCAGAGGGAGCAAAATGAGTCAGGGATCTCATCCATACCAGTGGATGCCAGGCCCTTATCAATCATAGGCTATCCCCTCCTTTCTGGCATATATACGAGCAGTGGATGTTGTGGTCAGTCCACCTCACACCATATGCTTGCATGTATCTGTGGGTGTTGCAGCCTGGACCAACCTAACCTGGACCCAATTCCAGTACCCATCAGTATCGGGGCAGTTCCATGGTCATGCCTAGCTCAGCTTGTCACCACCCCCAGCTCCAAACAAACCAGCTGAAATTGCAGGCCACAAGGGTGAACCCACACATCCCCCACAGAATCTGTCCCTAGACCCAGTTTTCTTGTGTGATAGTTTCATTACCCAGCCTAATATTAATTGTCACGTTTTAACTCTCATTGGTGAATACTGTGATCTAGCCTTGCCAAGTAGGCCACCAGCCCTAGCTTTAGTGTCCACCAGTGAGTGGTATTCGGAATTGGTCAATACTAACTATCTCAGTTCTGCTATACCTCTAGGGCTGCTGTTTCAGACTGAACCTTAAAGCTTACTGTGTTCCCTGCTCAAGATCCCACCACCAGGTGCCAATGGCACTGGGCAAAGCCTTCAGGCTACCTGTCTGAGCCCTTTCTCCTCAGAGATCAGAGCTGGGGCTAGTCAGCTCCTCTGGCTCCAAGCACCCAGCAGGCCAGTCAGCTCAGGCCTTCAGACCTAAGCCCCATCCCTGGGACAAACCAACCCACCTGACTCCAAGCACATGGCGAGCCAATGGGCTTTATTCTCCAGACCCAATCCCAGTTCAGGGAGAAACTGAACTACTTGGCTCTGAGCCGATGGCTGGTCAGGGGGCCAGGCCACCCATCCGAGTTCTGCCACCTAGGAGTTCAGAGCCAGGTCTAGCCGCCTCCCTCCAACTATGAGCACTCAGCAGGCCAATCAGTTCAGGCCTTCAGAGCGAAGCCCTGCTCTTGGGACAAACCACCCCCTGTAGAGCCAGCCGAAGGACCCAGCCACCTGGCCTGAGCCCTGCCTCCTGGGTGCTCAAAGCAAGAAGAGGCTGGTTAGCCCCAGCACTGAGCACCTGCAGTCAGGCTTACACTTGTTACATATAGAGTCATACCTGTTTAACAGTAGGTACTAATTTCATATTTGAATGAAATACAATTGTGTTACATTTTAATTGCATCACAAGTCATAACAGTAACATTTAAAAATTGTTAGGAAAATTTTTATTGTATGTATTGAATGCTCATTCCACTGGAGATGATGTTTACTGGGGTGTCAGGTACATACCTGAACCAGGATACTGAAAGCTCGCCTGTACTGCATCAAAGAAACTTGGTATTAAACCCTTCATTTGTTGCCAGTTCTGAGATCACATTCCCAGCCAGGTGTGGTTATGTTCTCTGTGCACTGTCTCACAGAGCTGAGCTCCCTTCTTAGGTCAGAGTCTTCCTGCAGACCCCCACAGCTTGTTTGCAGCTTTCCTTCCAGCTGGAAAAATGGAATCCTGTTTCCTTCACATCTGTTAGGGTGCATGGGGCAGGCTGCTCCCGAATTCCAGTGGCCACAAAACTTCTTCAGGTAGATACATTCAGGTGTGTTTTTAGGGAAAAAAAAAGTCAGGGTTTCTTGAAAGACACAAATATGGGGACTTGAGCAAGTCCCAGACCACTCAGTGTCACAAAGCACTTGTCTCACACTATAGAAGACAAGAGATAACAACCTCAGTTACTGTAGATACACACACAACAAACAGCCTAGAACACACTCAAGGTATCCAAATTCAAAGATCCCCAGAGCCCAGTAGCATCCCCTCCTCCAATTCAGGCTCTCCAACTGTCAGCTTTCAAAGCCATGGGCTATGCCTTAGAACCCTTCCCCCACCTGGCAAAACAAACCAGATTTGGAGATAGCCTACAGGAGATGCGGTTAATAGAAAACTTATGGGTTGGATGGGCTCCTATCTACATTGTTCCAGGACTTTTGAGGTTTGTCCCTGCCCCTCTTCAGTACTTACTACAACTTGAGAGTATCTCTCTTCTTTTCCATCTGTGAAAAGAAAACCATTTGTGAGAGACAAGGTTAGAGGCTTGGACTGAAAACCTACAGGTTGACCCTACACCTAGATAATCCAGGGAAGCTTCCAGAAGCACAGCTGCAGACCCAAGAAAAGGGCAGGAGGCACTTCTGGAGGTATGTCCTCAGCTGGGACCTCCCCCTGACCTGGGGCTGCTGGAACTCAGGTCCCTATGAGCAGTCTTCCCCGTGGAGTGATCGTCCCAGAAATGGGGTGGGGGTTCTCAGACCCATCCTCACTCTGCCCTACCTGAGTTCTTGCTCTTCCTCCTCCTCATAATCATCACAGCAGCAAGTACCACAGCTCCAATGAGCACAGCTGCCAGGAGGACCAGGCCAGCAACAACTCTCCACACGGGCACTGTGTACTGAGGAGGCTCTGAGAGGAAAAGGGAGAGTGAGGGGCTCTGACTCCAGGTCTCAGTCTTGCCCCTGCTGAAGGCTCTGCCCTGCTACCCACCTTACCCCATCTAAGGGTGAGGGGCTCAGGCAGCCCCTCATGTTCCACATGGCAAGTGTATCTCTGCTCTTCTCCAGAAGCTACCAGTACAGCTGTCCACTTCTGGAAGGTTCCATCCCCTGCAGGTCTGGTCTCTATCAGGTCTGTGTCCTGGGTCAGGTCCTCCCCATCTCGGTGCCAGGTCAGTGTGATGTCCTTTGGGTAGAAGCCCAGGGCCCAGCACCTCAGGATGACCTTCTGGTCAGAATCAGAGTGGTGTGTCACGTGAGCTGTGGGTGGGTCTGAGGGAAGAATTGAGGAGTTTTATATTCTTCATGTAACACTAAAGCTACACTTAGTTACCATCCTGAGAGTGGATAGAAGCACCGGGTTGGGGAAGAGGTACAAAACCTAAACTCAGCATGGGGATAATCTAGTCTTTCCAAAGTGTAGCATTGGGTAGCTGGCTCAGGGGAGGAGACTCCAGGTCTCTGAGAGAAGAAAAGGGATTTGGTCTTGACTTGTGTGAGTGCCAAATAACTCAGAAACCCTGGAGTGAAACATCCCACTGCATTGGCTTGAGACCAAAATTGGGCTGGGAACAATCACAGTTCACATGGCATCCCTGCGGGTTCTTTCTGAAATGTTCAGTCTCTTCCTCCTGATATAGTCAAGGACTCTCCACTGCTCTGAGGGAAAGGCAGACCCTCAGTGCAAGGTCCTGTTCCTAGACCTAACACCCAATTGGGCGTCCTAGCATTCTTTCTCTGGCAAGAGGTGGACGCTTGGTCCGGGCCTCCTTTTCCTCCCTTCCTCACCACCCTCGGAAAGTTGTAAGCAAGGACAACCCTTCCAACCCCACGCACCTGCACGTTGCAACATCTCCTGCCCCATCTCCAGGTATCTGTGCAGCCACTTCATGCACTCGCCCTCCAGGTAGTTCCTTTGGCGCTCAGCTTCACCTGTTGCCTCCAGCTTGCGTTTGCTGATCTGAGCCGCCATGTCAGCCGCGGTCCAGGAGCGCAAGTCCTCATTCAGAGAGATGTAGTCAGCGCCATCATAGGCATGCTGCTCATACCCAAGGAGGAGGCGCCCGTCCGTCCCGACCTCGCAGCCGTACATGTGCTGGATAGTGTGAAAGCCTGTCCCCGCCCGCGGTCAGCCCTGGCCACGCAGCTCCGCCCCGCCCTCACCGGCCCACAGCAATTTCCGCTGAAATCTGGCCATGTCCCATGGGCTTCTCCTAGTCGAGGGTCTCGCGAAGCTCGCAGTCTCGGGGTGGGGGAATCCTGGCCCCTTTGACCCGGAGCGACCTGGGCGCACCTGGGGAGCAGTTGTCCCCTAGCTGGGGCTATGTCACTCACCGGCCTCGCTCTGGTTGTAGTAGCCGCGCAGGTTTTTCAGGTTCTGGCTGTAAATCTGTGCGCTCTTCTTGGCATCCTGTGTTTCCTCGTCCCAGTACTCCTGCTTCACCTGCTGCATCCAGGGCAACTGGGACTCCACCCTCGGGTTCTCAGCACTGCTGTCGAAGCGAACGAACTGCGTATCATCCACGTAGCCCATAGAAATGAAATGAGGCTCCCTGAGGCCGGGCCAGGACATGATGGCTTCGAAGTAATTCAGGGAATGTGACCCTAGGAGAGAGAGGCCATGCAAGAGGGTTTGATCCTAGACTTGTCCTGAGTGAGAGATCTCCCGTCGGTTGGGACTGGCAGAGAGCGGAGGGGCCTAAGGAAGCTTTGGATGGAAAAGGGGGCTGATGAGAAAAGGAAGGGAGGAAAAGTGAAAAGGACCTAAGAATCTGAAGGCAGAATCTCTAGGTGAGGGCCGGAGGCACTGGAGACATGTGGCTCAGCCCCTTCCCCACAAGAGCTCCTTTCCCATTGAGGCCTTTTTCCTTCCCACCATGTACTCACCTGCCCTCACCTCTGTCAGAGGCAGGATCCCCACCAACAGCAGCAAGAGAAGGTTCTGGGACGCCCAAGCCAGCATTCCACGGATATAGAGACAAAAGTAGAGGTAAAAGGACCTGAACACGGCTGCACCTCCCTTATATTGGTGGTTCTAAAACTTTGCCCTGCTCCCTTCCCTTTTTTCCAGAGCCAGGTGCCCTTTGTGATACCCCCTCCTTGACGCCCAACCCAGCACTGAATGAAAGAACAATGAAAGTCCCTCAGCTCCATTTACAGCACAAACGATCCCTTGAGTAATCAGAACCTTGTCTGTGAAAGGAGAGAGTGTGGCTCCCCACAACTCAGAGTGTCTGTGCAGCATCCCAGCAACACACCTTCTGCTCCCAGATATACATTTCCAGAAGGTGCACCGGGGGTATCCTCACTCTCACTCCCAGCCCTAAGCTTGGGGGTGTGAATCCAGTCCAGAATCCCAGAACAGGGACCCCGCATTTCTGCAAGGATTGTGGCACAGGAATGTGGCTTCCTGCACTGCATTGCTCACCTGCAATAAAGTTTAACGTATGTATATACGTTAGCACTAAAAGATATGAAACTTATTAAAGCAAGACTTTTAAGGCAGTAAGAGATAAGAACCTAATTAAAGCAAGACAAGCTCTAACAATACACTCTCTGAACTGTTGTTGTGACTCTGGGTGTGCTATGAAGCTGTATTCCCACTTTTCATGACAGTGTGAGATGCTGCTGTGCCTTGTGTGATGAGATACGTGAGGAGCTGACAAAGGTCCTATGATGCAGTAGTATCAGATAAAGGAACTCAACACAGGAACACAGCACAACCAGAGTCCATCTGACAACCAGAATAGCTATTAACTGACTAAGACGTGCAATGAATGTAGCATGGACACAGTGGACATAAAAAAGCTTCATACCCAGGAGGGGGCAAATTACTAGAGATTTAAGTGTCTGTTTAGGATGTCCCTTTTCATGATAGGGTGTCAAGTCTGAGTCTGGCTACTCTGATTCAAATTTAGCATTCCTGTTCAGGGAAGCAGTGTGTGATGGGTAAAATAATTGGTTCCCTGGCACCCACATGGGAGGCCAAGAGGGATTTCCAGGCTCCTGCCAGAGCCTGACCCAACATTGTAGGCATTGCAAGATTTAATAGGAAGATAGAGAACCTCTGTCTTTCAAAACTCTGCCTTTCAAAAAATAAGCAAACAAAAAGAGGAACATGCAACTTAATAATGAATAATTATTTGTGAAATTTTCTATTTAATATTTGCAGACATGATCAAGTGGACTTGAAATAAGAGAGACCTCGGTTGAAGGGCTGAGATGTCAGGGAACACACACAAAGGCAGACAGAAAGAGCTTCTATTTGTTTACTCACTTCGCCAATGGCTGCACTGCCACAGGGAGCCTTGGAATGTTGCCTGTGTCTCCCATAAGATTGATAGGGTTTCTAGGTGTTCTAATCATCTTTTCTGAGTTGTCAGGTACATTAACAGGGAGCTGGATTGGATACCGAGAAGCCAGGACTCAAACTCATGCTTTGATACAGGATGCTGGCCTTGAAAGCAGTGGCTTTACCTGTTGTACTGAAATACCCACCTCTATATTGCCTTTCAAATGCATTAATACTAAGTAAACCACTGTAGGCATGTGCAAGCCTGAGGCTTCAGTGTGTTTTAATACAGATTGCATTCCTAAGAGTGTAGGGTCATACCTGCTATACCATAGACACTAAATTTATTTTCGAATGAATGAAATATGAATGTATAACAATTTGGTGATATCATAAATTACAGAGAAGTACTAAAAATGTAGGGAAGGTTTTGCTTCATGCTATGAAGATTCACAACCATTCAGTCTAGTTGGGATATCACTTACTCCCACTTGTTTGCAGTTTAGTTTATTACAGTTGGAGGAATGGGGCCCTGTTGTCTTCACATCTGTCAGGGTGCAAGGGGAGGCTGCTTTCTACTCACAGTGACATCAGCCTTTCTGTCACATGGTCATCACAGTCAAGGCTCACAGTAGGGAAATCTCTTACACTGAACCCCCTTCACTGTGGATCTTTTTCTTTTTTTGTCAAAATTAATGAACCACATCTAGCTTCCCCTGTTTTTTAATCCAAATTCCATTTATCCTTCTCACCATTGCTAGCCTGTCATCATTCCCAGGAATATGCCATTTGATTGACAAAGGAGTTATTTTTATTTAATTTATTTTTTAATGTGAGCTCATAATATCAAGGAGAACATGTGATATATACATTTTGTGTGTGGCTTATTTCACCCAACTTGATCTCCTTCAGTTCCAACTATTATGCTGCAAGTAACAGTATTTCATTCCTCTTTATTGCATCATAGTATTCCACTCTGTTTTTGTATGTACCACGTATTTATTGTTTTTAAAATATTTGTTTACTTGAAAGGGAAATTTACTGATAGGGATGGAAGCAGAAGAAGAGAGGGATAGAGAGATCCTTCTTCTGCTGATGCATTTTCCCAGTGATCCCAATGGATGAGGATGGGCCAGCCTAAAGCAAGGATCCAAGAATTCCATTGAGGTGTGCTCATGAATGGCAGGGCCTCAGTACTTGGGCCATCAGCCACTGCTTCAGTGGATGCATTAGCATCTAGCTGGATCAGACATGGTGTGGGTGGGACTTAAATCAACATCCATATGGCATTGTGGCTTCACCATGTGAGCCACTGTTTCACAACCCCAGCCATATAGCAGTTGTTTAAATCCACTGATATAGTAATTGATATATTAGCTGACTCTAAAACTTAGCTATTGTGAGCAGTACTTCTATATACATAATATGACAGTTAATGTTTTGATACAGTAAGTTCATGTCTTCTCTGTCTATGTCCACTAGGGGAATTGCTGGATCATATAGAAGTTCTCTTTCTAGTTTTTAAAGAAAGCCCCATATTGGAATGTGGGCTTCTGAAGGAACAACTTCACACACTGTGCCACATGCCTACCCCTCTCAATTTCGCTGGTGGTCAGAACACCAGTAGAGACTTACTGAGCATTTCTGGCTCAGAGACTCTCCCAGGTTTCAGGGAAGTCATCAGCCAGTCTGTCTTCTGAGGCCTGGCTGAGTCTGGGAGAGTTCCCAGAGAGCCCTTTCACATGGCTGCTGAAAGGCACCTGTTCTTTGCTGACTGGACCCAAAGTTCCTCCGTTGCTCTTCTCCAGCTATTTACCACAGAGCAGCTGCCTTTTCCAGAGCTAGTACAAGGACAGAGAGCTTGAGAGAACAAGATAGAGGCTCCAACATGCTTAATGTCCTACACCATAGATCTAAAGTGTTAGGCCACTCTCACTCTGCCATTCCAAATTGGTCATGAAGTGCAGCCCAAATACAATAGAAAGGAATTAAGGTCCACCTCCAGATGAAAGATTTATCAAGGATTTTACAAGCTTGTTTATCCTAAAATTAAAACTAAATACATTAAAATTAATTACTTTTAATTTATGTAAATAATTTAATTCAATTCAATTAAATTAAAAATTAGTGTTCAAATAGTCTTCAATCCAATTACCTGTCATGCTTTAAAGCACAGGAGTATTTTGTTGAATGTTTCTTATTTTAAAGTTTGAATTTATTTGAAAGGAAGTGAGAGGAAAAGAGCAAGAAATACTTATTTTAGCATTTAAAAAAAATTTACTTAAAAGGCAGAGTAATGCAAAGGGGAAGACAGAGAGGGTAAGAAATGTGCCATCTGCTGACTCATTCCCCAAATGTCTATAAGGACAGGGCAGTGTCAGCCTAAAGGCAAGAGCCTTGAACTCCGTCTGCATCTTTCACATGGGTTTCAGTGCTCAGAAGTGGACCATTTTAATGTTTTCCCAGTTGCCTTAACAGGGATCTGGATGTGAATCCAGTTGTAACTGAAATCAGCATTCCTACCTGGGATACAGTTGGCACAGGTGGCAGCTGTTGTGCTCTAATATCCCAACAAGAAATATCTTCCGTTAGCTTATCAAGCCCCAAATGACACCAACAGCTGGGCTTAGGCTAGAGTGAAGTCTGGAGTTTGAAACTTTACCCTGTTTCCCATGTGCATGGCAAAGATTCAAGTATTTGAGTCAGCATTTACTACTACCACCTGCTGGAGTGCTGTCATATTCAGATGTGAAGGTACAATGCAGTATGCATCTCCACTTCCAAATCAAAGATGGACTCCCAGTGAAACTGTTGGACATATCTAGACAATGGGATGCTGGACTGTCTGACATTGTCAGTACCAGCAATGTGAGGGCACACTTAAATAACAGAGTGATGGACTTATGACTGTGTATGAAGGACTATACTATAGTAAAAATATGAGAAAAATCAGCCGGGGGTGGAAATTTGGGGAGGTGGTAGGAAAATCCCAGATCCTATGAAATTGTACAATAAAATTCAAAATAAATAAACAAATAAATAGAGAAAAAAAAAAGCAGGACATTGGATCAGATGGACAGCAGGAGCCCAACTCAAGGATTTCCACTGGAAATGCTGATGTCCCAAGCAGGGTCACTGTGCCACATGCCTTCCCCTGATTCTGTTTCTTCAATTCTTTAGATTTTACTTTTATAAAATAAGCATTAGAGTTGGAGACTGTCTATGGCCATACAATCCTGAGTATGCCCAATCTCCTCTGATCTCAGAAGCTAATCAGGGTCGGGCCTGCTTAGAACTTGAATAGGAGAATTTGGTGACGAATTGATACAGCACTTCTGAGCTTTTCTTTAGGTAGTCTTCAATAAGAATTTTCTCTTTGATACGCTGCAAGAATATTGAAAATATGTAGTAGCAAGGGCAAATAGACCCAAGCCAGCAGTAGTTTAACACAATGACTTCAAAACGTCTCTCTGTCTTTACAATCTTCAGTATAGACTTCCAGCACAGGAGTTGAAATGCCACTTGTTTTATCCATATTTCACATCACAATGCCTGGTTCAGTGTCCAGGTCAACTTTTACTACAGCTATCCTGCAAAGACCACCCTGGGAGGCCGCAGGTTATTACTGAAGTAGTAAAGAGAAAGAGGAAGAGGGAAAAAAAAAAAGACAA